TGTGCTGTGATTCAAACATACAACCTGTGTCCTGGGCCTCCCTCAGTTCACCTCCAGCTGCCAATACTGAAAAGTCGAGATGGACACGGAAACAAGCAAAGAATGGGATCTGGGTATTTGCAAAGAATCTGTTAATCAACAAGACGAAATTTCCTTGTCTTCAGAACTTAGCTTCTGGACTGTAGGCTTAACCAGTGAAGAGTTCTTCTTAGCCAGCACACTGTCCCTCTAACTACTCTCTGGGTGAGGCCCCAGTTACACAAGTAGGAATTTTCCTGAATATAGATACTGAAATCATTTATTTTTACAACATTGGCAATGGATACGACATCTTTACATTCACTGACGTTGCTGCTACAGAGTCACTAAGCCCATTTTTTGCTCCTGCAAATCCAATTAAGGTGATCAAGGCTTCCTGGGTCTCTGTCCTGAGATGAAGGTGAGAGGTCAGAGTTTCAGTTTATTCTGAGCAAGGCAAATAAACTTTTGGCCACAAAAATATTTAGAGAAAAATTACATTGCGCTTAAAGCTGAAACCTTTTCTGCTTGGTACAACACATGGGAAAAAGTTAACAGCAGAAAAATACGGAACATTTCACAAATCATAAATAAAGTTGAAAAATTAAGAAAAATTACATTTAAATATTAAGCACTGTCACAGTTGTCTTCTGTTTATTTTTCTGTTCAAATAAACATATTCTAAGAAGAAAGAAAAGAGGAAAGGGGAGGAAGGGGAGGAAGAGTAGGAAGGGGAAGATGGAAGGAAGGGTGAGAGGGAGGGAGGGAGGAAGGAAGGAAAGAAGGAAGGAAGGAAGGAAGGAGGGAAGGAGGGAAGGAGGGAAGGAGGGAGGGAGGGAGGAGAGAGGGAGGGAGGGAGAGAGGAAAATGTTAACTGCTTTAACCACACCGTATAAAATGGTATTTTCAGATAATAATAGTCATATCTAAAACACAGAAAACAATAATTAGAAATAATTCTTCAATTAGATCTTATTAAATGCTTCTGGCACACAGACCCAAGAAGTACATGGTATTCATTAATGCTGTTTAACAACTCTCAATCTCCAGCTCTCTACCTGTTTTCCAGGCTGGTGGTAGGATTATGCTTCACCTAAGAGTCCTTTGGGGTTAAGTGTGGGCTATGTGGCTATTTTGGGCCAATTAGTTGTAAGCAAATGTAACTCACTTCAAAGCCAGAGCATTTACCTGCCAGTCTAAAGCCCTCCAGAGCTCCATTCCCCTCTGGCAAAGCAACCAGGAACCTTTAACGTGGCTGGAGGCTTAATAAACCCAGGAGATGAGCAAAGCCCTCCAACCAATGCTTGATGAGTGAAAAGTTAAGTCTTGAGTTTTAAGCCATGAAGATTTGTGGGTGTCTCATTACAGGAACATAAACCAGCTTTATCCACACTGGTTTAAAAAAAGAAAAGAAATATCATAAGAAAAGATCAACAGCCAAGGATAGCTGATTGGGGAAAAATCATTAAGAGCAGCATTTCCTGAAGGATCCTTGGTTTAGGTTAAAAGCCTGAGAGACACTGCAATGCTCCTCATCATTTTAATAATATGATCTGACTACTGATTATTTTAAACTCTTTTTAGTCTATTATTCCACTGAAAGCAAAAGGTTTCAGTAATCGTCAAGTTTAGACGATGTTAAAAAATAATAAAAGATCTGGAAAAACAACTGCTTTTCATTTTTAAATGGAAACATCTAACATTAAAAATATAGACCAATTCTCCTATTTTTAAAAAAATCCAACAATTTATATATTTATAACACAAACACCTTCAACATATAGATTCCAATATGTATTTATTCCACTCAATGTATACATAACACCCCACCAAAACTACACATACCAATCAAAAAGTCTTCTAGATAGTTTTTTTTTCTTTTTTTTTTTTTTAGACAGAGTCATACTATGTTGCCCTCGGTAGAGTGCCATGGCATCACAGCTCACAGCAACCTCAAACTCTTGGGCTTAAGCGATTCTCTTGCCTCAGCCTCCCAAGTAGCTGGGACTACAGGTGCCTGCCACAATGCCGGGCTATTTTTTTTGTTGCAGTTGTTGTGGCTTAGGTGGCCCAGGGCGAGTTCGAACTCTCCACCCTCAGTGTACATGACTGGTGCCATAACCACTGTGTTGTGGGCGCCAAGCCATTCTAGATAGATCTTTATGCACTCAGGTAGAAGCAAGATTATATAAAACATAGCATTTGGGGAAATAATAATTTGTCAAAATTAATAAACACGTACATCATACGGTTAAGGCTGTAACTTAAGTAACTCAGGAAAAAAAAGAACAAGTGTTAAGAGATTTAACATATAGTTTTATTTTATTTTTTAATTTTTGAATCACTAGGAAAATGAACAAATTTGTCATCTCAACTTCAGTGCAGGCTGAAATGAATGACTATCTGTCAGCCTGAACTGCTCTTGAAAGAGTGTGGGAGATACAGCTTCCTGCGGTTTGGGTTGCTGATGGGCAAATCCCCAAATCATGATTTGGGTTTACTGTGGTTTGGGTTTACTGATGGGCAAATCCCCAAATCATAAAACAGCTCCTATTCTTCAATTCTCCAGAACCCTAATTTCACAGGTGGCAGTCCTGGCTTTCAAACAAAGACTTTGTTTTGATAGAAACCGTGGTTGCTATATTTCTTTCCACTAAGTTGTCCAAAGTAGGACTAGCATATATAATGGATGAGAGTAAAAATGTAATTTATCTATACTTCACAGGGTCTATAAACAAAGAGAACTTCAACCTCCAGAAATAGCCTGTTTTGCAATGTTCAATATCTATTTTCTCCAAAGACTGCTGGACTGGCTGCAAAGCCAGAGGGCCTTATTTCTGTGTAGGTACTACTAAAAAAAAAAAGGAAAAAATTCTTTTGGACTTTTGATCAATGGAGGAATTCGCTTTCCTTTAACTTAAAATGAAAACAACTCAAGTGTTTATCAATGGATGAATGAATAAATAAATTGTGGTATGTCCTATAATGGAATGCTACCTGGCACTAAAGAGAAATAACTAGGGATCTACCCAACAAGACAAGTCTCAGAAACATTACCTAGACAGGGCCAGAGTTAAAAAAAAAAAAAAAACTATATACTGCATGATTCCATGTATAAAAAATGCTTTTCTTTTTAAAAAAGGCAGAATTAGAGGGATAAAAAAAAAATCAGCTGTGACAATAAGGGCCAAGGAGGCAACGGGGATTGAATGCAGAAGGCAATTTGGAGAAAAAAATAGAAATGGTCTGTTTCCAAAATTCATCAGTTTGTACAGTTAAAACCAGTGAATTTTACCGTATGGAAATTATACCTCAATAAAATGAATTTTTTAACCAAAACCCACAAAACAATGGCAGATGAAGAATAAGTTGGTAATGCCTCAACAAAAAAGTGATTGAGACCAGTTGTCATCCAACACTGCTGACCCTGCCAGGATTCTTATGAGCTGAATTCATAGGTTGAGGCCTTAACTCCCAGTTTATCAAAGTGTGACTGTATTAGGAGATAACAGCTTTTGAAGAAGTGATTAAGATAAAACAAGACCGTAGAGCAGGGCCCTAATCCAACAGAGCTCAGGACCCTGTAAGAGAAGCCAATTTGGACCCACAGGAGATACCAGGATGTGCACACATAGAGAAAAGGCCATGTGAGGACACAGTGGGAAGGTGACCATCTGCCAGCCAAGCAGAAAGGCCTCAGCAGAAACCAAACCTGCCGACACTCTCATCTTGCACTTCCAGCCTGCAAGAAAACAAATCTCTGGTATTTAAGCCTCCAGGCTGTGGTATTTTGTTAGGGCAGGCATAGCAAGCTAACACAATTCTCCTTTAACACTGCCCTTTTCATATAGGAAAGAAATATGTACATAAAAAGGAAGATCCCACATTGTCATACAAAATGAGTAACTGACCCTCTGATACCCAACACAAATACGTCATAGTAAAGCACTTCCTAATACTTAACCACACAGGCAGTATTTTAAATGCCTCTTTGATATTACATACCTATAGCCTTTCATAAATAAAATGATTCAGATAATCATGTTACCTCGTGCTTCAACTGCACTGATGCATTTTCTGAGAATTGTGAATCCCATCTTATCCAACTGTGCACCTAAAATAAATATAATTATGAAACATTAAGGGCACAGTTATCACATTTCTCTGCCTAACAAAAACAGCAAAAAAAAAAATTAGTTTAATCCAATCTAATTTTTATTCCACTATTTTAAAAAAGCTAAAGCTCATGTATTCCATATTTAAATGATGTAAATGGAAATTTCATATATTTAGAAGAGCACTTGTTGAAATATCAGAGCATCTATCACCAATAATTTATGAATAAATATATAATATAAAATAGTTTTTTAATTAATAAATATAACTTACTTCAGACAGCCAAGAAAAAGTGATACGAATCTCTAAGGGATGCTATTTAGAAACAGTCAAGATATATTTTGCC